GAAGAAGAGAAGAAGAAGACGCCTACCGGGGTGACTGAAAGGGAAATCCACTCTACATCACAATAGCGAGCCGCACCAAGGAGGAAGACACATCACGCAAAGAGAGGCGGGGGGGGAGAAAAAGAGTAGAGGAGGAGGAGAACGAAGAAGAAGAAGAAGAAGAAGAAGAAGAAGCCTACCGGGGTGTCTGAAAGGGAAATCCACTCGACATCACAATAGGGAGTCACACCAAGGAGGAAGACACATCACGCAAAGAGAGGCGAGGGGGGGAGAAAAGGGGTAGAGGAGGAGGAGGAAGGAGAACGAAGAGGAAGAGGAAGAAAAAGGAGAAGAAGAAGATGGAGAGGGGAAGGTAGAGAATGAGTGAGCATCGTGGTAAACATCATCGAAACTCCCGAGCACAGTCTGGCTGCGTGAAATATTCTTTTGTATTTAACGATGTTCAAATATTTAAAAAAATATTGTTCTGTTATATGTAATTACGTAATATTTTGTGAAATATAGTACCCGAAATTAGACTACTCTCAATTATAAATTAAATTAGATATTAAACACTTAAATGCCAAAAATAAATAATTGATCGCAGACTAGTAAATAAACATGCACTCTGTTTTTCTCTCATTCTGTACCCCCTCTCTGTGTACTACGTGGAGGAAGAGGCTGTGTGAAGAGACAAAGCCACGTGGAGGAAGAGGCTGCGTGAAGAAACAAAGACCCCATAGTTCTGGACAAAAGAGGAGAGAGCGGAGGTCGAGCAGAAACTGGGCGTCGACAGACAGAAACAAGAGGATCCGTACACACACCTGATCGGGCGCAGATTCATTGAACATACCCTTCTTTTCCTCTCATTCTACAGAAGAGAATGGACATCAAACTTCCTCCCTTGGGAAAGAAAACGAGGACGTCATCTGGAAAAAAAAAAGAAGAAAAGAAAGGAAGGGATTGCAAAAAAGAGAAACAAAAACGTCCACACTCCTGATCCGCCGTAGTGCTGGATGAAACAGCAGAGAACCGAACATCTAACACAGGAGCGGAGATCGAAAGAAAACTGGGCGAAACAAGGAGTGCAGACTCCCCGATTGATTGATTGATTGACTGCAGATTTATCGACAGAAGATGCCCTCTATTTGCCCTGACTCTACGCCCGCCGTAGTGCTGAGAGCAACAGCAGAGAAGGAGATTGACACAGAGAGACGAGACTCCGTATCGCCGAGAGACCAACAGCAGAATGCAGATCAACAGAGACTCCCTCCAGGACAAGAAGCAATACGGTGAAGAGAAGTAAACACAGAGAGAGAGAGAGAGCATGTGTTGATGGTTTGCCCCCTTTTAAAACACCCAGCTTGCTGATAGCTCTCGCAAGACTCTTAAGGTGAGGTCATAGGTTCAAATCCTATCTCCGCCAACAGAAAATACGTGAACCCCATCCCATGCCAGGACGCTGCAACCGGTTTTCAGCTGCAGCTGTAGTTCCCCCGCTGCACGTGCAGTTCCCCGCTAATAGCTTGGAGGTCACAGGTTCAAATCCCATCTCCTTCAATCCAATAAAACATAGAGAGTACGTACGCACCATGTACGGACGCTGCACCCGCCGGTTTCCAGGAGGTGCAGCTCCCCGCTAATAGATTGGATTGGAGGTCACAGGTTCAAATCCTATCTCCAAATCCT